ACATATGAGCATATATAATTGTTCACTGAACAATCACGTAAATCGGGCAATCAATGTGCTAAGGTAATCAAGGTAATTATGTGTTTGTGTGTTCATGTGTTCGCCAAAAATTGTCATTTTTATCCATTTCGAATCAGCGATAATGTAAAAGTTATGTACGTATAATTTGTAATTTTATTGAATCTATTATGCCGAAATATCATTCGGCAGATTTTTATCAAGTGTTTCGGAAATTATGAAAACAGCTGTAAAAATAAACTATTTTCACATGAGTATATTATCAATTTTTCTGTCGTCATCAAAATAAATTTATGAAATAATAGTTTTTAATTGTTTAATGTTTGGTTTAATAGTTTAAAAGTTATTTTAATAGTTTAAAGGCTTATTTTAATAGTTTATAAGTTTATTTTAATAGTTTATCATTAACCGGTCTGAATTGGCTAAAAGACTGAAAACTGAAGATCGTGTAACCGATCAAAAAGACCGCTCTTTAACCGGTCTTCTCAGGCCGAACCCAACATTGAGTGAATTCACGGTTTCAACAATAGCCATAATTCCAGTAGTGAGTGGTGTGAACATTAGTTGTGCTCACGATTTCAGGAGTGGAGTGGATGGATTCACGATTTAGTGATATTTCAATCACGTTTTGAGTAGTAAATATGTTAATGATTCAACATCAGGCGGTACAGGATTTTAGTCGCGTAAGTTTGTGATTTCGGTAACGACTTCAATGGTGGGTGTTCATCATTTCAGCAGTGCAGATTTATGCGTAGGTTCGTGATTTTGACAATTGTAGTCCGTGATTTAATAGTAACAGTTTCGTGGCTTCAAAAATGGATGCTAATATTTTAATGATATTTGTCTGTTTGCTGTGTCAAAAATTTAGCTATTTTGTTAAATCTAATGTCAATTAAGACAATTTTGTTCTATGCCTTCGGCACAGTTATATGCTAGTCTTTTTGATTTTCACATTACACTTAACCTTAGATACAACTCACATCGCAGAAATCTTTTGTAATTAGTACTAACATCAAAATTAACCAGCTAATATTTACATTCATCAAAAACATATGCTACTATATATACAGCTCGATAAAGCCTTATGATAATTAAATATCATAAACAAACCCGTAATATTATAAAGCTCACTAATACTAAACTTCGGTGGCGAAGTCGCCACATGATCAAGTTCTAGTTTAATATAATAACAAACCAATACCAAATATTCATATTTGTACAGCGAAAGTCTCTACATGTATAAGTTCTAGCTAAATATAAATATTAAATTTCAAAATCCCAAATTTTACTTAAATTTTAATGAAATTAAAGCATTATTTTTGTAAAGAACTTTTACTAACGTTTTGCATTCATTAAAGCTAAGCTGATTATCACAAATATTTAAATGAATTAAGGTATTGTTTTTACATAGTGCTTCCACTAATACTTTCACTCCTTCATAACCAAGTAGATTTCCACAAAGGTCTAAATAAGTTAAAGTGGTGTTTTTGCAAAGAATTTCTGCTAATATCTTCCCTTCCTTAAAAGTAAAACTACTGCAAGAGAGATCTAACTTAGTTAAATTGGTGTTTTCGTAAAGTGCATTTGCTAGTGCTTTTAGTGCTTCGTAAGTAAAGAAATTGCAACTAAGATTTAAAGAATTTAAACCTGTATTTTTATAAAGTGATTCTGGTAATTCTTTGATTTCATAAAAATGAAAGCTATTACTACTGAGGTCTAACGAAGTTAAGGTATTATTTACATAGAAAACTTCTGCTAATGCTTTTACTCCTTTATCATCAAGTTGAGTACAATGAAGATTTAAAGAACTCAGGGTAGTGTTTATGCGAAGAGCTTCTGATATAACCTTTATTCCTTTAAAACAAATCTCATTTCTTCCAATATTCAAAGAAGTTAAAACACTATTCCTGCAAAGTGCTTCTGCTATCGCCTTTACTCCTATAAGACCAATATTATTATTTCTAATATTCAGGGAAGTTAAAACGGTATTCCTGCAAAGTGCCATCGCTATAGCTTTTGTTCCTTCAAAACCAAGATTATTATCATAAAGATCTAAAAAGATTAGAGTAGTGTTCTTGCAAAGAGCTTCTGCCAATGCCTTTCCTCCTTTACCACCAAGTCTAATATTAAAAAGACTTAAGGATGTCAAAGTGTTATTGTTGTGGAAAGCATTTACAAGTACTTCACCACATTTAAAACAAAACGGGTTAGCATTAAGACTTAAGGACGTTAGAGCCATGTTTTTAAAAAGTGCCTTTGCCATTGTTTCCGCTTCATCAGCCCTAAAAATACCAAATTTATTATAGGAAAGATTTAGTCTGGATAAAGTAGTATTCTCACAGAGAGCCTCTGCAAATGTTTTCGCTTTCTTATAACCAAGATTACATTGCTGAAGATTTAATGAAACCAGATTGGTGTTTTTATGAAGAATATCTGATAATACTTTTATAGCATTAGAACTAAGTTTAATGTTAAAAATATTTAAGGATGTGATATTAGTGCATTCGCAAAGAATTTTTCTGATATTTTCTCTGATTCTATAAAAATGAGACTAGAATGTTTGATTTTTTTACTTGTGCGTACTAACATTGAACTTAAAAAATATTCGACTGTTTTAACTACGATATCGTTATCATATTCATCACATATTTTATCTTCTTCATAATTAGATTCATATTCCTTAGGATAAAGATAATTTATGATTCCTTTTCTTAAATTATAATTATTAAAATATGTTGTATAAGATGTATATTCCAATAAAGGTTTTGGATTATTGGGAAGTGAAATATTTAAAGGAATTAATTGTGCCTTTTCTTCAGCATTTAATGATGAAAGGTATATTTCTATAAGCTTTCTATCTCTGCCATGTTTTAATGGTTCACTCCACAACATCGGAGCACCAATTATACACCATTGACGGTTTACTAGAAGACATGAAAATAAGTGCCTGGGACAATTTTTAAGGTAATTAATTATTTCACAAATGCATTCATTCGGTAATTCTATCATTTTAAAAGGACTAAAAGATGAAATTATGATAAATTTTCACGGTAAATGACTTAAAACTTTTAGGATCATTCGGAACGTAGCGTAAGGCATTTACTGTTGTCCAAGTGATACAAATTATGCACAAATACGTAGTTACGCTTTTGATTGGCACTATCAATTTATATTTTTGTATCAAAAATACAAATTTGAAAAATCATATCTGTCTGTACCCACGCTACTTTAGTGATGCAAATAACGTAATGTATTTCAAATTGGCAAGCAGGCAGAATTTGTAAACATGCTGCATTAACGCCCAAGTGCATTATTTCTAGGGCACATATTTTCAAGAACTAAGGATTCATAAAATTTTAAAAATAAAAATGTGTCTTGAAATAATGCCCAAGGCGTTATTTCGTGTAAATTTCGTGACTGAAATTGGCACCGACTAAAGTCGCAACTTCAGTAAAATCGCTAACTAATGTATGCAAGATGATTTAATTTCAAAGGCCAATTTCAGTCAACTGCAGTTGTAACTTCAGTCCAGTTGGGTGTCAACTTCAGTACCGGTTCCGATCATTTTAATTTCACCGAACGCTCATTTAACCGACATCACATAGGGTTAGGGTTAAGTGATTGTCGGTGAAATAATACAGACCCGATAATACTCATGACAAAACTCGATAAAATATAAACTATCCAGGTGATAGGTTAATACGGTTTATATTTTTTGGTGCTTAGACTAAACCGTGGAAACCATCAAAATACTGTATAAACAGATAAAACTATAAACTAAAAATTTAACATTTATTATATAGTTTTTTAAAGCTAATGATTATAATTCTCAATCCCTAAGACCTCGTTAAAATATTTGGTGCTTTGAATTTCATATTTCTATTATCTTGGCTTAATGTCGGTTTAGGTTACAGTTCAATGCTTTACTATGCAATTTCAAGTTATTAAACTTAAAAAAAAAGATAAAGGTTTGATAATCTTCGATATTAAGTTTGTTTCAGTATTCGCCGAAGTAATAATAACAGATTTCAATTCATAATATAAGACTCGTTACCTTCAAATATGTATTATTACAATCGTTATTCTTTGCCAATGCTTAGTAATATTTGCATATAATAGACTAGCATTTCCCTTTTTTTTTCAATAATATGTGATGTCTCATACTAAAGGGGTCCATTTTTACATATAAACTAGAAAATTTCAATTGAATCGATCTCGCGACTAACTTTGATTTCTTTTAAATTTTGGAGCCTGTTTGTGATCTCTCGCGTGTTGATAAGCTTTGAAGTATACATATGATCTGGGTGTTTATGTGTATCAATTGACAATCTAGGATTAATATCAGCGTCTAAAAATTGTCTTTTTATTGCAATATTATATATGTCGTTCATGCATTTGTCGTAATCATTAAGTTTATTGTAAATATATAAAGCATCAGGACGTTTTGTTGGATCGGAATCCATACATTGCTTTGCAAGCTCAATATAACAAATTGGGGTTCCGGGTGCAAATTTTGGTCGCAATCCAAAGCAAATCTTCACGGCGAGATCGACGTTGAATTCGTGTCCATCAAACGGTCTCTGTCCAGTCGATATCTCAGTCATGATAATTCCGAATCCGTAAATATCAGAAGCATGTGTAAACGACTTTCCCTGTAAAACTTCAGGAGCAACGTAAGGCAAAACTCCGTAGATACTACCTTTTGGATCGTTTTCATTTGCTTTTTTGGCTAATCCAAGATCCGAAATGTAGGATGTCGTATATTCTGGATCCGAAATGTAGGATGTCGTATATTCTAGATCCGAAATGTAGGATGTCGTATACTTATTATCTGTTTTGTGTTGAAAAATACTATTACTATGCAAATTTGCATGAGTAAATTCAGTTCTGTAAATACTATTTAAATTATTTTGCTGCGAAATGTTAGCACTTTGCAAATTTGCATGAGTAAATTCAGTTCTGTAAATACTATTTAAATTATTTTGATGCAAAATGTTAGCACTTTGCAAATCTGAGCGAGTAAATCCAGCTCTGCAAAGACTATTTAAACCACTATGCTCCAAATTTCTAGCACTTTGCAAATTTGTGTGAATAAATCGAGTTCTGTATAAACCATTTTGCTGCAAAATATTATCACTATGTAAATTTCTGTGAATAACAGTTTTGTAACGATTTAAATATCTTTGCTGCACAAAGTTGCCACTATGCACATCTGTGTTAATAAATCCTGTTTTGTAAACATGATTTAAATCATTTTGCTGTAAAATATTATCCCTATTTAAATTATTTTGCTGCAAAACATTACCACTATGCAAATCTGCATGAATAAATCCAGCACTATGGATACAATTTAAATCATCTGAAATATCTAAAAGTATTCTTAATTTAGTATTCCAGGTAAGATTGTGAGATTTTAACTTTAAATATCTGTAAAGATTTCCGTTATTTGCATATTGAAATACCATCATATATTCATTTGTTTCGGTATTTTGGGTTAATCCATAAACTCCAAGCTTAATAAAGTTTAGTCGACATTTTATATGATTATAAAACTTTGCAGATTTATATAAATTAATTAGTTAAAATATACAGTATATTAAATAGATTATATTATTACTTACTTCTTTTAAAAAGTTTTGGGAATTATCCATGGAACTAGACAATGTCTTGAGTGCAACGATGGTAGTTGGTATATGAGGTAAAATATCGGTGTCAACTATTATACTATTCAATCTGATAGCTTTAAACACAGTTTCAAAACCTCCTTTACCAATTATTTCGATGTTGGTTAGCAAATTGAATGGTATCCATTTAATTAATCGATCATGATTAAAAGCTCTAAGTTGAAAAAATTTTATGCAATCGTCAATATCCTTTTTTTGGCTTGTCCATGCTTGAATCAATAGGTCTGGATTACATGTCTGACACCACATATATCCCGTATTATATTCATTGCAATATTTACATTTTTCGTAATAATCTCTCCGAGCCGGACTATAAAATTTTGAGTATTCATCTTTTTTAATCCATTCTTTATATTTGTTTTCATTACATTTTACACCAATACCAAAAGCATAACAAATAGCAGTTTTGTATATTCCGTTAAGATTGTCGATTTCGGCGGATTTCTGGTAGTGTTCGAAGGCTTTGCATTCATCCTTGATAACACCGATTCCCCAATTATAACAGAAACCGGTCCAGAATATCCCTTCACCATCACCTAATTCAGCGGCTTTCTGATAAGATTCGAAGGCTTTGCGTAAATCCTTTTCGACGCCAACACCAAACTGCTGCCTCCATCCAAGCTCGCAGAGCTGGCTTTCCATGTTTTGACTTATTTAAAATAAACAGAAATGACACCGCTCTTGAAATAAAATACTCAAGAAAATCATTAGTAAAAAAATAGAGCACTACCTCACCCTACACGATTGTACACATACTATTTTTAATGTTACCAATCGATATTGTTGTGTTCAGCGATGTCATATCAATTAAAATAATATCGT